GGGCGGAAGAGAGCCGTCTGTTCCGTCACAATTATTGAGTTATAAGTAGCTAGTTTAAAATCTAAATATTTAAGACTTAAAATCTTATTTTCACTTTTTGAGTTTTTAAGACTTTATATAATATATATTATTTTATTTATAATTCAACAACAGAGCATTTAAAATGATTCGAATAATTAATAGTATTAATTATTCGAAAAGTTTATTAAATTCGAAGCGATATTAATTGAATTAAAAGTAGTTGAATATAAAATAATTCATTTAGATGATTTCGATGAGGCAGGTACAATCACTCTTTGTTTTTCGGAAAGACGTTATGAAAACCGGGTGTAAGCTTAAAATGTACTAGTTGAAGTAAGCAGCGCTTAATTTCCCATGCTGACATCCAACGGGAATCAACGACAACCCCATGTGATATACGCAGGGCAATAACTCTTGCATATGGATGCACATTCTATGGCTCGAACAAAGGTTAATGTAAAAATCAAATATACGATACAAGGTAGATCAGATATTGATGCAAAACCGAGTTTAGTCGCCTTCCAAATCCCCTCTCCGAGCTGTGCTGTGCCCCTTTCGGAGATTCATTCTGGTCATAATCTCACAACCTTCAGTCATACAGTATTGCCTAGTAGAGAAGCAGTCTGATTTGCGCACCAATGAAGTCCCATAGCATTTGGTGGGCCCTGATATCGACCCTTAATTTTGTAATACAATGATAATTTTTCTGAGCTACGGACAGTCTCCGAATACCTCGGTCTGACGCAGCGGATATTGCTGCCGATGCCTGTTCTATATACGATCATACTTCGTCTATAATATTTAATAATGCAGATCTTGTAGAAGAGCCCCGCGCCATCTGTATGATTTCATCACTATCTTATCATCTTGCTTCCTCTCTTTGCCACTATCATTTTCATCATGTTGTCACAGATTGTCACATATGTTTCCCTAGCAGCCTCGTTGGTGACCTTTGTTGAAGGTGGCGGGGGAAAGCATTTTTACCGGCGACAGGATGGTCCTGTTCCAACGGGCACCATTTCTGATTGCACTTATTTTGTTGATGCAGCAGTTGGAGATACCTGTGCTTCAATTACCAGGGACTGGGGAATCACAGAAGCCCAATTTCTTGCCTACAATCCATCAGTACAGTCTGACTGCTCCGGCTTGATTGTTGGAGATTCCTACTGTGTTGAAGAGAATTATGGCAACGGACCAGCTCCATCGTCGACCGCTACGACTTTAACCACAAGCGCAACTGCGACTACTACTGCCGCACCTTCACCTACCCAGTCTGGACTTGTATCAAAGTGTAATGCTTTCTATAAGGTTGTTTCGGGCGATGAATGTCAAGCAATTGTGGATAGCTATGGAACCTTCACTCTCGCAGACTTGTAAGTGAAAGCCTTCGAATATTCATCGATTACAATTTGCTGACATTTGTATCATAGTTACTCTTGGAATCCAGCGGTTGGTACTAGCTGTAGAGGACTCCAAGCCGGATATTATGTTTGTGTTGGAGTTCCCGGATCCACAAGTACTCTTGCTTCCCCTACAGCAACCACGACTGCAACTTCTACAGGCCCATCACCTACACAAACAGGCATCATCTCTACATGTACATTCTCCAACGCTCGTCTAATTTTATCATGATAACTAACATACAATTTCAGGCACATCATACTACCAAGCAGTATCCGGCGACTCATGCGAGGGTATCGCCAATAAGTATGGCACCTTCACTGTAGCTCAATTTGAAACCTGGAACCCAGCCGTTGGCTCATTCTGCTCCTTATTAATCCAAGGATACTATTACTGCGTAGGTGTACCAGGAATTCCTACCAGCGCAGTGAGTACCACAACATCGACGACAACCACAACCACAGCGACAGGACCAACTCCAACACAAACCGGCATTGTATCAAACTGCAATCAATGGTACCAAGCAGTAGCCGGCGACTCATGCGAGGGTATCGCCAATAAGTACGGCACATTCACTGTTGCTACATTCGAAAGCTGGAATCCTGCTGTTGGAACATCTTGTCGTTCATTGCTCCTTGGCGACTACTACTGTGTCGGCACAACAACCTCCCCTACCACCAAGATTTCGACAACCACAGCCGCTGCGACATCAACCACGGCGTCAGGTCCACAGCCTGAACAATCGGGCATCGCTAGTAACTGTAATAAATATTACCTTGTCGGCAGTGGCGATAATTGTGCAGCCATCGAGACGAATGCGGGCATCACCCCGGCGAATTTCCTCGCGTGGAATAAGGCTATCAATTCTGCTTGCACGAACTTGTTGCTTGGGTACTATGTTTGTATTGGCGTGTCATAGGAAGTCTATTGATGATTTTCTGAGTATATATATTCATTGATGTGATCGTTATTTAATGGCAGAAAGTGGTGTTTTAAGGATCGGCCTCGATCATGTTCATTATTCAAGTTAAAATCTTCATTTGTTAATGTAATTCATTTAGCGATCATTAAATTGACCGGTTTAATCCGTAGTTCGGTGAATGTCTTGCTTGAGATGAGACGATAATGTCACCCATTTCATAAACCTATTTTCGAAGGAGAAAAGATTTCCAATTCCTTAAGATAGGTAGATGCTTTAACTCTCGATGGATCAAGCCCTAATTATTCATGATAAATCTTGGAAGTATATAATTTGAATATCATCATATAATCATTGAAAGCACTGGATGTAACATCAAGAAAGTTCATAATTAAAACCCCTTTATAGAAACCCAGAAGATGTTGTGGCTAGCTGATATAGTATATAAAACCCACAACCATAGTATTATGAGTGTCAGTGATTCTACATCAGGAAACCGCAGCTTCCTGAACAGGGAATGCCTCGCTTAACCCTCGGGCTGCTCTAATACCGCCCACCACGCGGCCGCTAGCCTCTTACCCCTGCACGCTTCTGTATAAATGCAGCGCTGCTTCCCACGCTCCTCGCCGTTCTGATCTTTCTTGAAATTCTTCTTCCAACTCTTCATCTTTTTGTCTCCACCCAATGTTCCAGGCATTTGTTGACGCTAGCATGTTGCAGCTGCACCTCCTCCCGGTTTGATTGCCTGTCTCGCGACCCTCAAATTTCCTCTAGAACTTCGGCTGGGCTTTTGATTCGCCTTCAGTTCTAGTGAGTATTTCCTCAATTCTCTGTCTGCAAACATGCAGTCGTGGCTTCTTGCTAATTAGAATGTAGGTAAATTAATTGATAACTAAGTTAAGCACGAAGCTCTATACTTACGAAAACTATTCTGATTATATAGATCCCATACAGATCGATGGGTCGTAAGATCGCAAATGCCAAGTCTTTCATATCTCGACCCATCGATCTATTGCTTTCTTCATTTTGTATGTCACAAATACCTCTTGAGGTCTTTAGTTATAGGAACAGAGTGAAAGGTATACAAATGTTCTCGGTAGCTCACCACTTTCCAGAGTTGATAAATCAAAATCAAAATCCATTTTATCCGTTGGACTTGAATCTTATACCTGTAAATTTGGTGGATTGATGGTGGATTGAAGAATCTTTTTGGTTTATTGGAACTGTGTATAGAGATGAAGGCTTATCATAGTTATTTTCCAAAGATTAAGATGAGCTTGTAGCTGCGAATAAGGGGGTTACTGGAAGTGGCGATGAATGTGAATCAGTAATGTTCCTTTAATAGTTATGATTGTTGTGTTTTTCTTTTAGTAGTTTTTAAGGATAATGAAAAAACCAATTTTCTCGTAAAACTCGATATCTCCGATATTTCGTAACCATGTAGTACTAATTTCATTATAATATAATTGAGGATCTCCAGTTTCTAGAGAAGTATAATATTGCGAAAGTTGATTAGACATAGTTCATATATTGTAAAAGGCAAGTACTCTCGTCTAAGCTATGTGTCACAAGATAAATGCGAGCAACATTGAGATAAGGAACCATTGTATTACAATATTTTGGTAGTATTCCAAAACTGTAAAATCCCATCAATATTCCCGTGTGTTTCTTATTGATCCAATTCTTTACTGCTTGGGTTTTGTATGAATATCTGAAAGCTTTTCTGTAACTACACTTCAACAGCCTTGCGTCAGGATGCATTGTCATATAACGTAATAGATCTCTTTTCCAATAAACTGCTTTTTACACTCGGGGTATAGAATCAAAGGGCTATCGTATCCTGTAGCATCTGGACAATGACTAAACGAGGTTGTTCGTTGAGCTTGCAAGCTAAAGGCTATGTGCATCTAATATCTGTGTATCTAATATCATAAGTTAGTATCAACAAGCTCTAGAGATTGGTGACCATTACACTTACATTTTGGTTATCTTGAGGAAGTCATTTGTAACAATTTAGTTGATATGTCTAAGCCTCTTTGTAACGAATGTACTGCAATCTGGAATATGATATGAATGAGTTTTGGGGGTTGCAATGAATCAACAGATGTTTATCCAAGGTCAAATCGTTATATAGTTCTTAATCAGAAGATCCATGAATATGCACACAGTAGTCGGGATAGTATTCTCCTCGATGAGAAGTTGTTGTGATCGGTTCCCCTCAAATAATCAACTAATGCTTCATGATTCGGGATAGGATCCAGGTCTTCGTCTTAAAGCAAAAGTGGTGGTTCGAATTGGTAAAGGATGGTCTCAACAGAGTCGGCAGGTGTTTTGGTAAAGACAGTCGATGAAAATTGGTGACTGAGAATGTGTTTAGGGAAGCTATACTTAAAGTTGAATCTTTGTTCGCAATATGGTTCTGTATATCTATAAGATCTGTTCTTTCGATGATTATGATCTTGATAACACTTCATTGTAATGGAATTTCGGAAACCTAGTCTGCAATCTGATTTTATTAATAGGTTGGTTCCCTCTAATGAATTGCGATACAATGATATCTTAAGGTTTTAGCAGAAATGAACTTTTTTGTGTAAGCTTTACAATAATAAGATTGAGAAAAGCGTTTTTCCATTAAATGTAAAACTACATAATGTTTTGAATAAATAGTTTTGCAATATTGAGTTTATAGATTGAGATCTCTGTAGCTTTTTATTTTTGTGTTATAAGTATTGTGACAAGTTGTGGAAATTTCCATTCGAGATTATTTGAGCGGAAATACCTTTATCATACAATACAAAATGATACAACTCTTCTAAGATTATTATCATCCCTACCAGCATCCTAATATTCGGAGACTTACTCCTTTAGGAATCAACCATATAACTTGCATGATTTTGTATTTGTCAAAATAGATTCGGGTAATAATCCAGGGGTAATAATCCGGGAAAATCCGATGGAATCATTACCAGGCTAGGATTTATTAAAGTGATTCTTAGCCTAAAGACTCAACTGCTCGAGGCTGTAAATATTGTTTGGTTAGTATAGGGAAGGGTCTAATTAACCCCTTCTATAACCCCTATTCTTGCGTGTCTACTTTGAATCGCTATATTTTGGATTCAATCTACTATCATGTTTACATTAATCGAACTACCCAACTCTTACCAATATTAAAAAGAGTGATTAGTAAATACAAACTATCAGCTATATTATTGTTAATGATTAAGTGAGATTCATAAAGATTGTACCTTTGGGTCATTCAGCGAAATACTCTGGAAACTGTTTCCACCCGAAGTCCGAAATTTAATTCGCGAATTAACCCTTATTCCTTGTTTTTTTGTAATCGATATAACTTACCCCATCGATATTTGTAATGGGTTGCAAAACTTGAAACTCTGCAATACAGATATTTCAATACTTACTATATTATATATTAATTAAGAATCTCGTCAATATAGTTATTTTATCTATTGCTATTTGTTACCCAATTCCTTTACAAGAAACATATTCTACAATTCAAGAATGGATACTATATATCTGGTCTTGCCTAGAATTGATAAAGAGAATAAAGAGTTTGAGAAGTTCAGTATTATTTGGAAGGAAAATGGACTGATGCAAATCATTGTTCATTCTTTCGATGTATGATATCTTGCAGTTGATTATATACACTTTATATTTGGGATGGATGAAACAGTTATTATAAATCTAAAAGATAAAGAAATTGTAGATATAATAGAACAATGGTAGGAAATTGTGAAGAACTGTTCTTGCAAGATATATTGTTTTTGGAAGATGGAGATACAGTTTTAGGTGATAAAGTTTTCTTATTCAAAACAATTGACTCATTGTCAAATTCAATACAAACACAGAATTTTTCTTTGATAGCAAAAGAAATTCGGCAGCGTCTGATTGAGCCAAAGGACTTTATTCCATTATTCCGATTAAAGATTTGTAAAGCAAACAATAATTAGAATACAGCTACAAAGACCTTAGATAATGAAAGAGTTATAATGCTGTTTCAATAAGATCGCAATCCACAAATTCCTTCTGCTAAGACTATACTAAAAGAAAATAATTATATAATCGCTAAAAAAAACTATTTAAATAAAGGAGAAACTGCTATAGCTACAGATTTTATTACTGCGTTTTTATCAATACTTGTGAGTGTCTCAATAGTTTGTCCTTCAGTTACAACAATGATGACGATACCCTTAAAGATAACACCTTTGCCAAGATTAACAGTTCCAGTAATAGTCAAGTTATCAAACTCGAGGATTCTTGGGATACTGCTGATACACTTCTGGAAATCGGAAACCTTCTTGAAGTTGTTATCGAGCTTGATCAAAGAAGCAGAACCGAAACGGCTAGAATCAATTTGGAATTGGTTGTGCTTCAATGAGTACAAATCTGACTTGACAAGTATCAAATCAGAGCAGGTCTTGATTGGCAAGAAATGTCTATGGGGGAACGTTGACGCTATGGGCGTTGTGGAAATGACGGATAGCAGCTCCGACGGCAGTTTCGAGTTAAACGATTGAGATATCAGACTTGCCCTTCTTATCAGCTGGGATGGATTTGTTGTTAGGGATGATCTCTATCTCGAGCTCGTTATTCTCAACAATGCGCTTAACAGCTTGTAAGTTCAACCAGATATTGTTAATATTGAAGTATTTGAATTTCTTGATAGACTTGAACTTGTTGATATATTCCTTTGATACTTGAGCAATTTCAAAGAAATACACATCCCCTAATTCGATCCCGATAATGCTTTAGATATACCAGCTTGTTCTTTACAATAGAGAGTAAGGATTCGGCCACACTTTATAGCTGATAGAGTATAGTATTGTGCGGAAGAACAACTTTGATATATATGGCGAATATTGATGACTTATGAAATGTCATCATCAGCCATTGGTCAAGACAACTATCACAAAGTTATAATTCTCAAAAGAAAGGTTTGAAAATAATAAGAAATGTTCAAGACATTACTAAGTATCAGGATCAACTGATTGTAAGAGTAGGATACTTTTAACCTAGTTTCTTGTTAATTGATATCTACCAGTTATCCTATTTATTATACCCCTGTAGGAAGATACAGAATAAAATGTTCAATTAAATGCTTTTCTTGTCTAATTTTCTATGGTAACTATAGCTTCTTGTCAGATTTGTTAAGGCAATTCAGTATCTGGTATCACTTTCTTTACTGAGTCTGATATACATACATATTGGATTTCTAGCCTGTTCCCAAATCAAATATCCTGGTTTGCTTAATATATATCGGTAATAGAATACCATAGAATCTCCCTTCTTTAAACATACCTAAGAACCCTCCCCATTTTTCTTAAATATCACTAAGAATTTTTCACAATCTATCTGAGATATTGAACGAATATAATTTAATTTAAAGAAAGCTAAGAAATCATCCGATACAAGAGATTACAGAACACCTGGCAGAATTCCATTATCATTCTTGACTTAGATATTTTATCATTGTAAAGTGTTTATAGTTTGTTTAGTAATATTCCTTTTTCTCTATTAATAGAGTTCTATTGATTGCTCAATCATAAGGAAGTATATCCTTTGCAGCCATCATGACTAATGACCTATCTTCTTCGGCATCAGGATTTGTTTCCAAAAATGAACAAGTTTCAGTTCTTGAAGTATCATTATTAGTAATTGTTGAAGCAAAGATTAAGGATTGAGCCTTTGAAAACTTCAAGTCAAAGATGGCATCATTACTTTCAACCGAAAATTCTAGCTTAGAATTATCGAAGTTGAACCATGTACCAGCATCAGTAATATAACAAATTAGCTATAAGATACATTCTTTTCGTTACTCAAATATAGATAAAAGCTTGTAATACTTTTCTTTTTTATCAATTTTCTTGTTAAGAAACCATTTTTCAGGAAAGTATTTATTTGCCTATAATAAACCACACATTCCAAAATCTTCAGGGAAAGAGCGGATATCATTTTTTTCTAGAAGTGGAAATTTGTTGTCCTCAATACAGCTGAGGGATTTACAAGATCTAAGCAATATATTAAGCATAATTGCTAGAGATTGCCATGGAAACGTTGATACCAAAATATCTATTACACCTGAAGAATGAGAAATGCGAAATATGAAAACAAGAGAGATATAAATAAAAGGATTAACATTTGGATCGCCTATTCTTTGCAATACAATCTCCAAGGCAGAATTGCTGAGATTCTGTGCGTGTTTGAATGCTATCATGGAGGGCGAAGATTCATCTCGAGCCTCGTCCATATTAATATCAGCAGCTTTGTTGTTTGAAGAAGATGCAATAGCTTTTATAATGGGATTCTCTTTAGATGCAAATCCAAGCATTACAACATTATTTGAAAAAGCGATATAACAACCTTGCTCCATGAATTTCTTGGTTACACAGCCAATTTGGTTATCCAGCAAATCAGGAAACTTCTTTTTAGCAGATTCAAATCTTTCCATGGTTCTATTTGTAAATAAATAACCATGGGCTCGAATGAAAACAGTATCCAAAGGCGGCAATCGATACTGATCTTGCCCATTCTCAGCATTGAGAACAGGATTAAAGAGTGTAAGTATCGAATCGCGCGTAGATGTGAATGGCACTACAATACACAATGATTTTGCATAGTAAAATAATTGCTACAAAACATTTGGATATGCAAGAATAGCAAGGTAGTGATAAAGCCTACCAGTCGTAGAGGCTTTGTCAAAAGCCTTGGAATACCAATAGCGTACTACACTAGTCCAGACCTCCCTGTCTCTGATATCATCATCCTAAATAGCCATTCTGTATCTCCCTAGATCTCCCAAGTATTCAATCCAAGTATCTTCAAATGCCGGTACTGTTTCGTACAACAACATTATTGTTGAATACACCAAATATATGAATACAAGTATGTAATCAAGTGAGGTAGGGAGTCGATGTCGAAAAAGTTCTAGAAAGGAATGAATACCATAGCGCTATATTCTGGCAGGCATAGCATATTTTGATGCTAATCGTCGTAGAGCAGAATTAACAGATAGATATTGAAAGATTAAAAAGAAATTGTAATATTCGTAAAATAGTATACAATACTATGCAATAAAAGCTTGCCATTGCTCGTTATTGAGTTTCGGTTGTGTGAAAGAGTTGCTTTATGCAAGGGTAGTTTGTTTATTATCAACTTCAATACATTTGACTTCAACCATGACAAGACCAGCATAAATTCCTTTGACCTCTGCCACTAGTTGTTCTTGAGAAATAGGTTTTGTCTCCAGCTAAAGAATAATATTAGATTCTTCACTTTGAGATCTTGATTTGGTTTCCAAGACTGTTCTGTTGGGTAAAATAGCGGATGGTGTATTAATCTAAACATAGTAATGATGGTGTTACTACTACTGCTATTGATAGCTTGCATAGGATACTAAACGGAATGCATTTTGAGGTGAAGACGCTTTTGCGCCTCTTCGATTAGCTGGTTTAAACACTTGAGCTCGAGATGTTGAGGCTTGTATCGAAGCAATGTTGAAGGGATCAAAAGATGACCTTGTGAATAGCAAGTCTTGGTCAGGAGTTCACAGTTGTCCCTTTGTAGTTTGTCGCCGGGTTTCCGTATATGAAGTAGAAATTGGTCCACAGGTTGGTTTAGCAAAAGATCTTCCTGAAGGAGATGAACCCGAGGCTTCGCGGAATGGTGATGTTGAACCTGCCAAGATACCATCGCTAATAATAACTCTCTTGTGTGGTTGAACTGTGGTTTCTTCATTCTCTATAATATTGTCCTCATTTGGTCTTGGATTCAATACTTGAAAACCAAAGAGTAATCGAGTAGGTAAAGGAGAGTTGAAGGGTCTCTTGGATTGTGGGTTTGTTGATTAAGTATCAGCTTGAGCAGTGACAGCCTCATTATTTGGAAGTATCCAGGATTGAGAGTTATTTTTGATTAGTCTTTGTACTTTTGAGTCAGCCTTACTTCCACTTCAAGGATGGTACACAGCCTAGCATATATTGCCCCTTACAGAGACAATTGTTTATAATGGTTATCGAATCAACTAACCTCTTCAATACACTATTGATCTTATAAACCGTTCGAAATAGTTTGATTTCATTTTTGTTAGATGAAATCTTATCCTAATAGTCCTTTTTTGCATAATTCCACAAATCTGTTTTGGAAAGGCATATCTTGTGCTCCGGACAATATATACAGGCTCAAGATTGAGTAGTCTTCGTATTTTGTCGTTGATTCATCTTTAGTCGTAATTTCCACAAGTTGGAGAAAATAATGAGCATAGATAAAAAGATAGCTTTGATATGTAATTCTTTATAGAGAGATATATAGTTTCATACAATAGTAGGTATACTACCTCATTATACTAAAACAAAAACTCTCACTGAGAACCTTGCTGTATTATTGCTTTTTTTGTACACCGATGTTTGAACTCAAGTATTGGTTAATTGCCCCCCTATTCTGTTTGCCTTCCATTGTAAAATCACAAGGATATTGATGTAAGATCTAAAACAGGGGGATATAGGCTACGTAAATTGATAGGATGAAAAAAAATGGGGGTCGGGATTGAAGGTAAATGATTGATATGTACTGTTTCCAATCTGATGTCTCGAAATCATTATTACCATTATTCGTGATATCACCATATAGCTTGGGTACCAGATTAGAGTTTGGTTAAAATATGAAGCAGCTTCTTTCGAAAAGAGAAGGTTATCTGCAAAGCCAAAGTCAGAAAACAGATCTGGCTTTTATGTCCGCCTGTACACAATAAGTATTGAAAATTTTGGACTTATAGAATAGTCCGATCGGAGTCGATTGAAGATATTTGGATTTAATTTTTTTTGTACATCAAGTAGTGTGAAAATGTAGATTCTCTCGCTTATTTTGATCAAAAGTAAGTAACGGTAATAACTTCAGTGAATGAGAAGCAAGTGAATACGGTTGAATAAGGTGATAATATTGAAGGAAGTGATGATTAGGATTTGGTAGTATGGATT